ATTTAGTTTATTTCTGAAAAATCATGTTACATATTAAATAATTGTGTAACACAAAGAACGATGCTTTTCGAAGTAGTTCATGTGACAAAACAATCGGTATGCACATCTTTTTTTAAATAAATAGTTGTGTCAGCGTGACTTTCTTCACGATGTTATAATATAAATGTATGCCCTTGTATACTCAGATGATACATATACCTTTACTTATATAACAATGAATAATTTATCAGAAATAATGTGATATTCGTCATTCAATGAACAAAGCTATTCTCTCGCTGACATATATGAAGATAATATTGGTAACCTATAAACACTGATAAGAATGCCGGTCCAAACTCCCCTAGTTGCCTCAAAACGTCGTTAAAGTACGTCGGTCTAGTAAACCACCAACCGCTAGTTGAGAAATTAACTGGGAATTGAAGGAAATTACAGCAGTGAGTCAACACTCAGGTGTACATTCTCGTATGATGGACACTTATAAGTGTAGCCCCTGTATAAACACGGTGCTGGTAAACAAATCATAAATAGCAGCTATACTGATTTCAATATCCCGATTCATGTTTTCAATTTGACCATCAGACACGTGAAACTATATGCGGAACGAAGCACAGTATATATTATAAAATGGTATATTGATAGCTGTACAATGAATCGTACGCGAGTACTACACAATTTGCATCCCGTAAATAATTTCTTTTATTTACTTATTAATGAGAAACTCATAATTACTATTTCATTCTTAAAGCATTAATGTAAACATGTTGTAGTGAGTGAGTTATATTTAAAGTCACATCGGCAATATTGCAGCCATATCGTGACTATCAAGGTTTTATGTTTATAAATACAATTATACTTATATAAAAACCTGCCAACGAAGGACAGTAAAAAGTACTAGACTTATCACAGAAAAAGATTTTAAAACTAGTATGGGATCATAAAAAAGATAACACTGATACATAACAATAATATGATAAAAACGGGCTATAGATCGCCAGCCCCTGAAGGGAGATCACCATACTGGGGACCATGGGGACTTACAGTACCTTAGCTACCTGCATGGGTCCCAGCAGGATTTACATCATCCCTTCAAGTGGTGGCGATTATTGGCAGAGTTAGCCTTACATCTTAAAATGACACATATTCTACGATTAAAAACACGGTAGTTCTAAATTTACCTTGAAAGAAGTGGAACTTATGTACCCTCTCAGGAGGACAATAATTTTACAGTACTTTAACCCCCCTCGAGGATAGAGCCACGAACATTCTCAGTTGCTAATTTAATCTACCGATCATAAAATATGTATATTTCACAAAACACAATCAAAATTTTGCACACAACTCTATTTCTTTTAAAAAACCAATGATTAAACGAGAATCGATACTGCTAAAAAGATCCTTAATAGATGACGAATTGAAATATTTATCCCTTGTGATGGAAAAATCAATGCAGTCAAGCAGGACATGCTTGACCGTGATTCTTTCATCACAAGGGATACAAAACGGAGGATCCTCACCTTTTAATAAATATTCATTTGTGTATCTGCTGTGGCCAATACGACATCGTCGCATAATGACCTCTTCAAATCTGGACTGACAGCCCAAGTAGGTGTAACCGATATTTGGTTTAATTTCATGTAATTTATTGATACCTACTTGGGCGTCCCACTTCTGTTGCATAAGATCTCGGATGTAAGATCGAATCATGGGTTTAAAATCAGTGTATGGGATCAGAAGTGGTGTCACAGATTTGTTGAGTGCTGCTTTTGCAGCAGCATCGGCCATTGTGTTACCAATGATACCAACATGGCTTGGCAACCAACAGAAGACGATTTCGTATTGGCCAGTAGCAAGCTCATTTTGTAATTCAATGATGTCAAGTAAAACGGGATGCTTACACGAATTATTTTTAATAGCCTGAAGACAGGACAGAGAGTCTGAAAAAATAATGAATTGCATATGTTTAGATCCTTGAATATATTCAAGAGCTGTTAAAATAGCTTTTGATTCTGCTGTAAATATTGAAGAATTACCTGGCAATCTGGTTGATATAGTTTTGGTTCCAACGATGGTGGCGCTGGCGACAGCGCCACCATCCTTGGATCCATCCGTAAAGATTGATTTGTAAGTATTGTAAGAAGCTCGTAATTGATTATATTCTTGTTGGTACTGAAGTTGATTTGTGTCTGCTTTCTTTAGTTTGGACAGTGACAGGTCCACATGTGGCTGCACCAATTGCCAAGGAGGAGAAGACAGGAGTCTGAAAGGAGATATAGTTTTGAGATCAATATCAGCAGCAGAAAGGAAAGGTTTAATTCTTATTCCCAGAGGGGGAATAAGAGATGATTTCTTATGGTACAGATCCTCATAAAGGGGATTAAAAACACAGTTGTAGGCAGGGTTGGATTCATTAGAATATAACTTTGTAATATACTGTAAAGATAGTTTAATGCGGCGGTGTTGAAGTGATGGCTCATCGGCCTCAATATATAAGCTGTTAATTGGAGAAGTACGGAAAGATCCAAGACAGAGTCTTAGACCTTGATGATGAATAGCATCTAATAGTTTTAGATTGCTTTTGCAGGCTCCACCATAGATGATGGAGCCATAATCCAGTTTAGAACGGATGAGTGAACGATATAAGTGAAGAAGGGTTGACTGGTCCCCTCCCCACTGGGAATTTGAGATAACTTTTAATAGATCTAGCGCCTTTAGGCACTTTGCTTTAAGATATTTAATGTGTGGTAGAAAAGTAAGATGGTGATCAAAAATTATACCTAAGAATTTTGCTTCCTTTACAACTTTAATTGGAGTGCCTGCTAGATGTAAGACTGGATCAGTATGGGGTTTATATTTCCGACAGAAATGAATGCAATTTGTTTTTAATTTAGAAAATTTAAAGCCATTACGTTCAGACCAAGCATTGATTTTATTAAGACAAAGCTGCAACTGTCTCTCTATCGTGTGCATGTTTTTTCCTCGACAGGATACATTAAAATCATCAACAAACAATGACCCATCAACAGAGTCAGTTAAAACCTTAGATAAACTATTTATCTTTATACTAAATAAAGTTACGGATAAAATGCTACCCTGTGGAACACCCTGATTTTGATCATAAACATCAGACAAGGTGGATCCTACACGTACCTGGAAACTTCTATCTGTTAAAAACTGTGATATGAAATTAGGCAAACGGCCTCTCAATCCCATGTCATGAAGGTCTTTTAAAATGCCGTGTTTCCAGGTTGTATCATAGCCTTTTTCTAAATCGAAAAATATTGATACAGTGTGTTGTTTATTGATGATAGCATTTTTTACAAATGTCTCCAATCGAACCAAATGGTCAATGGTACTCCTATTTTTTCTAAAACCACATTGAATATTTGTAATAAGATTATTTGTTTCTAAGTACCATATTAATCTGTTATTGACCATTCTTTCCATGGTCTTACAAACACAGCTCGTAAGAGATATTGGCCTATAGTTAGAAGGATCCGTATGATCCCGGCCAGGTTTAGGTATTGGAATGACGACAGCATTCCGCCAAGATGAAGGGAAGTTACCCGTTGTCCAGATATAGTCAAATATATTTAATAGTGTTTCTAAACACGAATCAGGCAAATGTTTGAGAAGTTGATAATGAACATTATCAGGCCCTGTAGCCGTATCATGAGCCTGGTCCAAAGCAGTATGCATTTCATGAAGGGAAAAGATTTCATTGTAATCCTCCCCGTTATTAGAATTAAAATTGATGTTAGTTTTTTCCTGACGTTCTTTAATTTTCTGAAATGTTGGAGTATAATTTAATGAGGAGGAATGTTCAGCTAAAGTTTCACCTAATTTGTTTGCTATATCAGATTTATTTGTAAGTAAGTTAGTACCCTCCTTAAGATGTTTAACAGTTGCTTTGGAGCCTTTTCCTTTAATTTTATTCACCATATTCCAAACCTTAGACATAGGGGTTCGTGAATTAATTTTTGAAACATAATTCTGCCAAGACTGCCGTTTGTTTTGCTTAAAAGTACGACGAGCTTTTGCATTTGATATTTTAAATTGATTTAAATTGTGGACTGTGGGATGATGGCGGAAATATTTCTCTGCCTTCTTTCGAGCTTTTCTAGCATGTTTACAAGTTGTGGTAAACCATGGTTTACGGATATGTGGAGTTGTAGAAGACTTCGGAATACAACCATCAGCAATCTCAATTAAGTAATCTGAAAACACTTGAATAGGGTCAGTGTCATAATTCAATAATTCAGGCTTCAGTTTCTCTCTACATAATGATTCAAATATAGTCCAGTTAGCCTTTGTGAAATTCCATCTAGATGAAGGTGGAACATCTGATGGATTGACGGTGGAAAGAAGAGTGGGAAAGTGGTCACTGCCACACAGATCATCGTGGACCGACCACTCAAATTCATTTAGTAAGTTTGAGTCAGTAAGAGATAAATCCAGTGAAGAATATGTGCCAGTTCCAGGATGCAAATAAGTATGTGAATCATCATTAAATATACATAAATCATTATTGGAGATAAAATCCTCAAGCACTTTCCCCTTAGCATTTGTGTTATTACCACCCCAAAGTGGATTGTGGCCATTTAAGTCGCCTGTGATTATACAGGGCTTAGGGAGTTGATCATAGAGTGCCTGAAGATCTGACTGCTGAAGAGAGGAAGAAGGAGGAATGTAAAGAGAACATAAAGTGAAGGCAAAATGTAAGGTTAGCCTGACTGCTATGGCCTGAAGTGGGGTATCGAGTGTGACAGGGCTGTGAATAACATCCTGCCTCACAACTATTGAAGCTCCTCCAGAGGCCCTCTCACCCGGAGGTGAGAAATGATGGTATGAATTTTACCGTCTTAAGTCAAAGGAATCTGTGATTTTGAGATAGGTTTCTTGCAAACATAAAGCTGATGGTTTATAATCTTGAACTAAAAGCTGTAAGTCATTTAAATTATGCCGAAGTCCTCTACAATTCCACTGTAATATATCTGGAGAAATCATGGTGGTTCAATCGGCGATCTGGGAGAATTATCACTCCGCCCGATGAGCTGCGGAGTGACATCCATCTGCAGAGGTTCATACGGATTATGAACCTCTACAGGGGTTGTCAAAGGCACTGGTACCGCAACATGTTTCAGTGCCCTTAATTCTTTCTTTCTTGACTTTTTTTCACTTTTTGACAGATTGGCCTTCTGTCGTGGCATAGGTTGTGTTTCAGGTAGTGGGGCTTTTTGTGTCTCAGTCAGAGAATCTGTTTGTGTCTCAGGCAGAGGGTTCAAATGAATCTCGGTCTGTGTTTCAGAAGAAGCAGATTCTTCACAAATTGGAAACAAAAGGGTTTGTTTGTCTGAGATCCAGGATATCGCTGTCTGACAGCCAGCAGCTACTTTGCTGATAGAAGAGGACACTGTGGCAGAATACGATTTCGAGGAAGGATTTGGATGGGACAGTTCCGCAACCAATTTCTTAGCATCAGAAAAAGAGATGTTATTTGTGTATTTGATTGTATTAATTTTACTTTCTCTTTCAAACTTCGGGCATAATTTGGAAGATGACATGTGTTCACCATTGCAGTTTGCACACTTAATAACATTTGTGCAGTCAGTGCTGTCATGTTTCTCACTGCAACGGGAACACACTGGAGAGTTTCTACAGAATCTGGCACCATGACCAAATTGCTGACATTTGAAGCAACGGAGTGGACTTGGTACAAAAATATCCACTCCCAGGTTGAAATAGCCGGCTTTGAGAGATTTTGGAAGTGAAGAAAGAGCAAATGTGAAAAGATAAGTATGTGTTTTAATGATGTTGTCATGTTCTTTTCTGGTGAATCGTTTAACTGCGATAACACCTTGGGGTTTTAGCTCAGCCACAATGTCCTCCTCGGACATGTCTGACAGACACTTAGAACGATCTCTGACAATACCCTTGCACGAATTCAGTGATTTGTGCTCAGAGACAACAATCTCTGTATTTGCAAAGTGATGTGCATTGAGCAGATTAATAGATTGTTGTCTCCTAGCACATTCCACCAATAAGGAACCACTACGAAGACGAGTGACGTTTTTGACGTTACCACAAATTCCCTCTATTGCCTTGGAAATGATGAAAGGGTTAACCTTGAGTGGGTTGCCATCTAATCCTTCCACAACCAGAAATCGTGGCCATGAATCAGGATTTTGTACAATAGTTTCATCATCTGATGAAACAGCATCTACATCTAAATGTCTTCGTTTAGTTTTCGAACGAGAACCAGCGGATTGTGGGTTAGACATGATGAAAGAAAGAAGATTCGACATCCCTGCTCCCCTCCCGCCATCGAGCGTCAACAAGGACGGTGTCACAGTGGAAGCCAGGCTGCAACACCAGGGCTACAGGAATGCTATACTCCAGAAATAAAGACATGAAAAGCTATGAAGACTAAAAGAAGTAATGTCAGGCTGGTTCGGCCCATGACAAAATTCCCAAGAACCACAGATTTCAGAGGTCCGTATCACCAGATTGGCCCATGAGCCACCGCCTTCTGGCATAGGACTCTAGGCAAAATATATATTCGCATCAATAATGATATCATATTTCACGATAAACAAGTTTGTAATATGATATTTCTAGGATAGGTTTTCCATGCACAGGGCATGGCATGACCAGCCGATTGATAGAATCGGGCCAATTCTACCACCCGTCTAGGCGAAGTAAGGGTCGAAGTGGTGTGTTGGGCAAAAGGAACACTGGTTCCTGGCTCCAGTGCCCTCAACCACCAGAATCCCGTCCTCCGCCGACACAGGGGCGCAACCCACGGCAAACAGGTTGCCCAATTTGGTCGCCTCTTACGACCAGCAATGGGGTGCTGTGGAAATATTCTACCCCGGTTCCACACGGGGGAAGAGCTATTAGCGCTACCCAGCACTCACCACGAGGAGGTTGCTCTTCACGAGTGCCTAAACATGTTGTAATTGGATGTGACGATCAGTTACTACTTCATGAAAAAAACATGACAATAAATCCGCAAAACACGCCGTACAGCAATTTACGAGCCTGAGAGAATGTGTATGTATAATGTCAATTCACACTGGCCCACTTACCGGCTGTCACGATCATGTCATTGGCGAGCAGTCTTGACTGGTCATTGTTCGAGCACCTCTTGATCAGTTTCCTTTCCACCAGTGTGTAAGTGTGTGTAAGTGTGTGTGTGTGTGTGTGTGTGTGTGTGTGTGTGTGTGTGTGTGTGTGTGTGAGAGAGAGAGAGAGAGAGAGAGAGAGAGAGAGAGAGAGAGAGAGAGAGAGAGAGAGAGAGAGAGAGAGAGAGAGAGAGAGAGAGAGAGAGCACCGTTTGAGTTGACGCAGGCGAGACATTGAAGGCATTAGGTCATTGTTCGAGCACCTCTTGATCAGTTTCCTTTCCACCAGTGTGTGTGTGAGTGAGTGAGTGAGTGAGTGAGTGAGTGAGTGAGTGAGTGAGTGAGTGAGTGAGTGAGTTCACCGTTTGAGTTTGAGGCATTGAAGGCACCAGGTGATTGAAAACAGCCTTGGCGATGTTGTTCCAGTATCAACAAAGGATAAGACCAACTGAGCTACATGTAGCTTTACCGGCTTGTTAGGGTCTTGTTGGAGGCGTGGAACCTTCTCATCCCAGACATGCGCTATGAGGGAGAGGCAGGGAGAAATCGCCGACCATGGCCGTCAAGCAATGTTCTGCTACCTCAAAATGTCTGTTGCAAAACGTGCAACATATGGGTGTCTATCATCCTGCTGCATCACGACGTTGCAAAGGATGGAATATGATCTTGAACGATGTCGTCCCGGAAGAGTGTTTCGATTAAGTTGTGTTTCAGAAAAATGTCTGGTAACTTCCATTTGCGCCATTCCTGTTCGCAGCATACCCACGGCGGGTAGACATTGCCGTGGCGTTGCGTAAGCGTTATTTACAGCTAAGCAAAATTGTCAAATGAGCACATGACAGATACACTATCATGGTGTACTTGTCACACGTGTGCGAGTAGCTTTCCCAAACAAACACGCAAACATCGATATCATGCGCCGTGCAGTCACGACTTTAAAGTCGAGGAGATGTCTTCATGAATATGGGGGGTGGGGTGTGTGTGTGTGTGTGTGTGTGTGTGTGTGTGTGTGTGTGTGTGTGTGTGTGTGTTTTTGGGGGGATAGGAGTTGGGTCGGAGAGCACAGGAGGCCCAGTCGTCTAAGGCGCCGCGATTCGTTGTGCAGCGTTGCGTCCCTTGGGCACGCCTGAAACCTATGATTGTGGGTTAGAATCCAGGTTTGCCCCAATTATGTTTCTAGGTTTGTCAACACCATACCCGTGCTCGTGGGTTTTTATCGAGGTGGTGTGCATATGAGACCTACATCACGTCGGGCTTTCCTCCCACATTAAGCTGACACGCCGTGATATAGCTGTAATACTTTTAAAAACGGCATTAAACCCAACTCACTCACTCACTCACTCACTCACTCAAAATATATTTATTACATAGAGAGCACTAGTGTCCCATGATTATGTTTTTTATCTTAATTGTCTCGAGTCAGAATTGTAAACTGTTCAATATTGTCACATTTCGGGCGTGCCCCAGAGACGCAACTCTGGACAGCGAATCACGGCGCCTTAGACGACTGTGCCACTTGTGCTCTGGATTATTGATTGAGCAATACGAAGAGATCTATTCACTTCAGATGTACGCAACAGTTCCTTCAAACCTTTAAATGCTGGAATTACAAGTCCAGCCCTTTGAGTTCATCTTCAATATCAAATCCCCTGTCAACCATAACCTAATCTCCCTCAGTAGACTAATTTAGTTTCTCAGAAGCCCTCCCACCCCATGCTCTAGAGATGAAACTCGTGTAATCATGAGATGTTATGCTTATCAGGAATTTCATGGTTTTGTTTGTCTTGGAAGAGCTGTAAGCGCTCTTTTTAGCATTAAAACTTGATGGAGTTTCAATGAATTGCTCAGTGCAGTCTTAAATTACCCTTGCATTTGGAAAGTGTTTGAAACAATCTGGAATAGTACTGTTTACCTTTTGTTTGGAGGGACATAATGAGATAGATTTTAATTCCCAATACAATCAAGGTATTAATAATCTTTGAGCAGCAGCTCTGGCTTATCCCAAAGTTTCTCCTGAACATGCCAACATTTAGCCTGACCAAAGTCATGAAAAAACTCTTCTCCCAAGGAAAGTTTTCTTGGACGATTTAAGATCTTCCTAGAATAACTTGCATCAGTGCTTTTGCCTTCTATATTGTGCATTCTCTCAGCTTCGGGCAAAAAAACTCCTACATACTGCACTGAATGTATCATAGTTTTGTAATCCTGTCTAAAAGCGTACAGGTTTCTCATTATCTTGACTGCTTCTGATTGACAATATTCTTTCCTCCAGAGAAGACACTTACAATGTTAGAGTGTTAATCTCGATCTCCTGATCCTCGATGTGGTGTACCATGGCATTGTAGTCGGCTTGAGAAATAGTAACACTGTCCTGTCCCTAGGTCTCCGCACATTCCTCATTTGTTTGTTGTTTAACGCCGCACTCAGCAATATTCCAGCTATATGAGTGAGTGAGTGAGTGAGTGAGTTAATATTTAACGTCACATCGGCAGTATTTCAGCCATATCGTGACGAGAACTGATATAAAATACAAATATTTGAATGGATTAAATATCTGTCATCGAAGGACAGTAAAAATAACTAGAGTATCAGATTGTCTCGAGTCAGAATTGTAAACTGTTCAATATTGTCACATTTCGGGCGTGCCCCAGAGACGCAACTCTGGACAGCGAATCACGGCGCCTTAGACGACTGTGCCACTTGTGCTCTGGATTATTGATTGAGCAATACGAAGAGATCTATTCACTTCAGATGTACGCAACAGTTCCTTCAAACCTTTAAATGCTGGAATTACAAGTCCATGCCATGCCATGGGAAATGCGTTTCACATCACAGTTCATGCTTTTGCTACCATTGCACGATTTCCAATCAGGCAACGGTGTCTGATTCATTCTGAAACTTTAAACTCAATTGAGTGTTTACACTACGTTTATCTACGCAATGCCCCCTCAACGTGTAAGGCGTCGCCTGACGACAGAACAACTGGGCAGATGTATTGGAATGCTTGATGCTGGCTATTCACAACGTGACGTTGCCAATGCACTAAACGTCAGCCAGAGCGTTGTAAGCAGGGCCTGGTCCCGACAGCAAAATTTTGTTACAGCAGCACACCGACATGGGGGTGGTCGTCAGAGGTCGACAACCAAACGCCAAGATCATTTTGTGGCTCTTCAGGCACGACGTCATCCCTTCTGGACAGCAACCAGCCTACGTAACGACCTCCTGAACGCCTCGGGGGTGAATGTGTCCACTCAGACGATACGGAATCGTCTTCACAATGCAGGTCTCTATTTGAGAAGGGCATGTGTCCGAATCCCCCTGACTGTTCGACACCGGCGGGAGCGATTGGAATGGGCTGAAGATCATGTCACTTGGACACGGAACGATTGGGTTCCAGTTCTGTTCACCGATGAGTCCAGGTATTGTTTGGACTTTACAGACGGGAGGCAGCGGGTGTGGCGACGACAACGTGAACGTTTCCATGATGCCAACATCAGTGAACATGACCGTTATGGTGGTGGTTCCATTATGGTCTGGGGTGGAATCAACAGAGATGGAGGACAGATCTTCATGTCCTGGAGAGAGGAACAATGACGGGGGTGAGGTACCGGGATGAGATCCTCGATGTGTACGTCAGACCCTACGCTGGTGCTGTTGGCCCTGAGTTCATCCTGATGGATGATAACGCCCGTCCTCATCGCGTCAGGGTGGTTGTGCAGTACCTTGAGCAGGAGACAATTGTCCGCATGGATTGGCCAGCGCGCTCGCCGGACTTGAACCCGATTGAGCATGTCTGGAACATGCTGCAGGTTGCCCTTTCACGCCGTAGAGCACAACCCACGACTTTGGCAGAGCTCGGACATGCCCTCGTGGAAGAGTGGAACAACCTTCCCATTGGGAACATCCGGGTGCTTATTGACAGCATATCTCGACGTTGTCAGGCCGTCATTGATGCAAGGGGAGGTCATACTCGATATTGACACTTCATCGACTAAGTGTAATGATGGACTATCCCTCATAACTGTGTAATTCTTTCTCTTGTTTGCTGTTAACATTTTTTAATGAAATGCCTTTTGGTGTTTGCAGATTTCAAACATTCCATATTGATACAAGTTCATGCCGTTCATGCATTTTCATTCATAACATTATTAAACACG